GTCCATATAACTAATATGGCCAAGGTCCATAGTGACAATTTTCAATGTCCTATGATCGCACACAATCCCGCAGAAAATGAAAAGCACAGGCTGTAGAGACAAATAAATGGAGGTTTTGCCTGGTGAGATTTGAACTCACAACCTCAGCAATGCTGAGTCACATACCAGAGTGCTTCCTTTACTAACTAGCTACAGACCTTGTGTTTGTAAGATTAGTTGGGGTGGTAGTCGTCATTGGTTCATGCCAACAGCTCCCCCAAACTCTGGTGATACATCATGGTTACACCTCAATGGCCCCCCCCCCCCCCCTTGCTACATGATGTGAAAGTGGAGATTGAACAAGTGTGGGAATGGAACCCAGTAAAGTATGATCTGAGAGGAAATTGAACCCATAATCTCAAGGTAGTCTGACAGGGGAATGTGGTCTTACAAGTAAGTGTTAAAAATTGGCAGGGGGCTAAAATTGAGTGGCTGGCCCCCATTTGGCAGGGGGCTAAAATTGAGTGGCCCCCATCAACAATTGAAAAAAAATGATGATCAATTGAGGGGATCTGGATGTAGGCCCCCCAATCAGGCACTGTCTTCAGGGTAGGCTAATGCTAGTCATGTGGTCATGTAACTGCATAGTCAGCTTACACTAACAGTTAGTGTACCTTTTTGATCAGTTACACTAACTGTTAGTGTAACTGAGGGAACTACTACACTAACTGTTAGTGTGACTCATCAAAAAGTTATTCTGGTATGCAGTGTAGTGGTTTCAACCACCAACACCACTATAATTGTGCTAACAAGGTTTTTGGTTAGTGTTAGTTGAACTTTTTCCAAGTCAGTTAACACTACACTAAAGTTTTTTTTCAAAAAATCTGTAGTGTTAGGGGGCCAAAATTTCCTCTAACAGTAACATTTTTGTAGTGTAGCTTAAAAAGCTAACACTAGGGTTAGTGTAACTGGCCCACTGTTGGTAGAAGGCATAGTACAATGTTTGTATTGGTTTGCTTGCCAAATCATTTTGACAATACCAAGTTGATGGGCAAATTTGATACCAAATTTGTGATATGGAAAGCCAAAAGGACCAGAGGATATTTCATATGAGGATGGATCAAGAGCTAAACTACCATCTGAAGAGACTGTTGGAATAAACATAACAAACACAAATTGAGAAATATCTTCTTTATTGCTATGGGGTGCATTGTAAAAATGATCAGTGGTAAAAACTAAGTGGGGGAAGCAATCAGATTCAGTTTTTTCATTGTGAAATTCAAAAGAAGAAAAAGAAGGAATATTATTTTTCTTCATCAAGTCTTGGTTTTCTTCAAGTGGGGTATTAGCCATTTGTTTGAAATGATATCCAAGGATATCTGCAATTTTATGGGATTTGGTGAAATGTTCATGGAACTCTTCCATGTCTTTGGTTTTGAATTTTTTGATATATCTACCAAGAATCTGACCACCATCAGATGACTTCCTCTACCCAATCACCCACATCAATCCTCCCCAAGAACGGCTATTGACGGCAACAGGAGAGATGAAATTTTTTGAGCAATGGAGAAAAGTGGTGAAAAAGTTCAGGTTGGCCTTATCTTGCTCGGACATATCTTCAAACTTGATGAAATTGATGAAAGGGATAACGGATTCCTTATCCAACAGATCTTGGACAATTTTTTGGCCAGTCTTGAAAAGATGGAATGTTTTGACTTCATCATAGGCTGATTTGATCTCTTTGGTTGTAGGTGGGCAAGTTGGTTTCCCCAGGCGATCAACTGGGATGGTGGGATAGAGGTTGAGTTCTTCATATTTTACTTGCCTCCAATTTAAAAAGTGGGTGGTATCACTCGGCTTGAGAGTTTGTTTAAGAATCTGGTCTTGAGTTTCCTGTTTTTTTTGCTTTGCATTGTTTGTTTTATGCTTTCCTACTAGCATTATTATTACTATCAAAAATAAAGTAGTCCCAAGGGTTTAAATCACCCAAAGATCCATTCATTGCATCATATAGCAAATAGCCAGTAGGAGAAGAAGGAAATGGGAAGAGTAAGAAGAAACAAAAAACATCATGAGATCAACAACCTGTAGAACTGTAATACATATTTGAAATCATACCACTTGTTTTTGCCCATCCTGTTTGTAATCTGCAGTGGTCAGTCAAACAAGTGTGCATGCGTGAGGTAGCTTAGAAGTTGTCAAAATCATAGTAGGGTAGTTATGGGATAGGGTAGCTTTTGATTGATTAATTGATTGATAGATTGATTAATTGATCTGAGGATGATATGGTAACAGGGCAGCTATCTTAATCAATAATTGATATATCAATTAATCAACCTAACAATTCATTAATTGATCTAACAATTGATTAAGCAATTGATAGATTGATTGATTAATTAATTGATCAATTGTAGGGTAGCTGGAGGGTAGGGGGGTGGATGGAGGGTGGATGGAGGGTAGGGGGGGTAGATGGAGGGTGGATGGAGGGTAGGGGGGGATGGAGTGTAGCAGAGAGAAGCAGAACTCACCGGTGACCAGGGAACCACACAGACACAACGGTGTCAAAATCCAAACAACGTATAATGAGGGTACCTGGGAGGGAGGGAGAGAGAATTAAGAATGTCAGTTTAAGTAGCAAGATGAAGGAAAGGGTGGACCTATAGTGTTGAGATGAGAGTGATGAGTGTTCAGATGATTTTGAGATGAGTATTGAGTGTTGAGTGTTTGAGTGCAAAGTGGTGGAAGAAAAATTTCATCAACCAACCAAAAAAAAAAAAGAAAAATCAGTGAAGGGGGCTAAAATTTGACTGGCCCCATGACCAACTGAAAAAATAAAGATGAAATATGGAGTGATCAGGGTATTGGCCCCCAATCATGCCCTGCTTTCAGGGTAGTGCTAGTCATGTGGTCAGGGAGGAGCCTATGAAGTCCTCCAAGACCGTATGACAGCACTGACCTTTTGTGACATGGGTACCATTCCCACTTACTACATTAATTTTGCTAACTTATGAGTTACGCTACTCTATGTTAGTGTAACTACATAGGTAGCGTAGCTTATTTTAGCTTAATTGATATAAAGGTGTGAACCTGACAAAAAGGAACATGTTGTGTGAGCACAGGTACGCAGTGGGTATCAGACTCCAATCTCAGTGAGGAAAGAGAGAGGAGCTGGTACCTGGCACGCTTCACAACTATACTAAGTACAAGGGCTTTGCCGCAGCAACTACAACTAGGTTAAGTATAGTGATGATTAAGGTTGAAACACGTTTGAGTCTAGTCTATGTTAAGTTTGTGATCTTGTTACTCTACTCTAACTCTAACAATTGAGTATGAGTTACGCTAAGTGTTAGCGTCCACTCAGTTACACTACTGGTTAGGGGAAATTTTGTTAGCTTGAGAAAAGTTAAGCTACTTGTTAGTTTAGTGGGAATTATTTAAAGCAAACACCATAGAAAATTTGAGGGAAAAAAATTATGCTATGCTGGCTGTTATCTCAGCAGTGTTCAGCAGGAGCTAACACTACAGATTTTCCAGAGAAAAAAAGGCCACTTCACTAACAGTTAGTGGCCAAACAGCGCAGTGTAGCATAGCGGTGTGGAAAGAAAGGCGCGCCCTTGGAGATTTCTTGTACAGTCTCCTCCCAGATGTTTATGTCTGGGGGTGAACTGTCACAAGTTGACTTGCACCCACGCACTAAACTGCAGTGCGCAGGTGCAAGTCAACCTCTTCATCGGCCAACAACTCATCAGAGAACAACCTCACCCATCGACAATTGATCTCAAAACAAGTGTGATTGACTTTGGAAAGAACTCGGTTGACCTTGGGATGAATTCGATACACGCAAATCAGACATCAACCGGTATTTCTATTGTTTTTTTGTTTTTTTCTTCTTTTTTTTCTCTTTCTGAGTTTTTTTCTTCTGTTCTTCATTCATTTGGAACAGGAACGATTTGATGGGACATATCCTAGGACAGTCCAACCTCATGACCGAGCAGAAGGCTTGAATCAACGGGATGTTGCATGGGCGAGTCGCTAGGATCGTGGGCTCCGGACAAACAACAGTCCCTGTGATTGTTTCATGGGCTCAGACTTGTGGGACCGTCGAAACCGCTGAGAAGAGTGGCCGGCCTTGATTGAATAGCGGAATGCGCCTGTTTTTGGAGGCCTCTGGTGGGCCAATCAAATATTGATTTTTTTATGTTTATTTTTTATTTTTTATATTTTTTTATTTCATAATCATTATCCCCCACCTCTCAGCCACCCTCCCCACTTGATTTTGTATTTTTAAAAAAATTATTAAAGAAAATAAAAAAAGTTGAATGATGCTTTTATTTTTTTAAAATGTAATAGGCCAGTTCACGTAGCTGCTCATCCGCAGTTAAAAAATTTATGATGAGCAAAATTTAATCAAATTCTCTCCTAAATTTTTACCTTAAAAATCCCCAGGATTTCAAACCCATGAGAATCTCACTTACTCGACAAGCAGATGGAAACGTGCCCATCATTCTAACTCCATCCACCTCCATCCCCCGATCCCCCTACACCCCTTAGCTCAATACGGTACTACCCTCACTTTTCAAACACCTCAGCACACCCTCAGCACACCCTCAACATCCTGGTACACCCTCACAAACTCCAACAAGCTTGTAAGTATAATTCCACCTACATTAATAATTCTGCCTGACAGACTGACATGCTTTTTTTAATTTTATTCTAGCATAATGAGAGGGTATTCAAAAAGGCAGAGCCTCATCCGTGATATGTTTATGATTATTGTATGGATGGAGCATAACGAACTTGAAGATATGGAGGACGCTGTGATTTTACGACGGAAACCATTCCCAACTGATGGAGAGATAGCCTTCCCTAAAAACAAGTTGCTTCAGCTGATGTATGATCTCCTCTTAAGTGATCAGGCATTATTTGAAGAACAACTTCAGATCATTCTGAGAAGCCGATATCTGTCTCTTCGTCCAACCCCCAAAACTCGAGATGAATTTGACCTCGAAAGGCTCTTCAACATGCCAGACATAGACTTCCAACAAGCTGCACGGACCACAAAAGCCGGATTTGTTGGAGTACTCGACATTATCTGCATGAACCCAGTCTTTCATCGTGGGGGTATTCGTCCACAGCTACCAATTGCTCATCAACTGGCCTTGACCCTGGAGCGCCTGGGATCAAATGGGAATGCAACCTCTGTTGGCCGCTTTTCTCGGAACTTGAACGTTGGCTGCGGCACTGTCATCAAAGCCACTCGTTGGGTCATTGAAGTGCTTGTTTCCTTAGGTCGACAATACGTTATGTGGCCCAATTCCACTCGTCGGGCCAAGATATCAGAAGTTATGAAGAACGAGGGATTTGTTGGATGTGTCCGATTTGTTGACGGAACAACAATTCCCCTATTTCAGCGGCCCGGGTATGATGGCGAGGTATTCTACGACCGAAAAAGACGGTATTCAATCAATGCTCAAATAATCTGTGATTGTGACAAGTACATCACATCATTCATCACGGGCTGGCCTGGTACATGCCGGGATAGCCTAGTTTACAAGAGGATGCAGCTGCATCTCAACTCCTCCCAGTATTTTGACGATGGTAAGGTGTCTGTTTTGCTTGCTCATATGGCTTCCAAATTGGTTTCTGATGTCGGTTGTCTTGTTTGTTTGCTTTTTCAGGTCAGTACTTATTGGCCGACTCAGCTTATGAGGTCTCAAAAACAGACGTTCCAGCCTACAAAAACCCTTCAGCCAAGATCCCAATCAATACTGACTTCAACTACTGCCTTGCAAAGGCCTTGAGTCCGAAACAAACATACAATTGGGGTCCTCAAGTCTCAATGGAGTTCATTGCGGGAGATGCGACTGCACCTCTATCGTCGGAGCAACATGCGGGAACATGTAGCCTGGCTTTACAGCTGCATCATTCTACACAACATCCTTGCAAAGCTCGGTGATCAGTGGTCCGAGATTGTCGCTGATAATTCCAACGGCTTGCCTGCTTCACCCGCTTTTCCAACAGAGGATAATGAGGACTGTGATTCCTTTCGAAAACGCTTGACAGTTGAATGTGTTAAATTCAACTACCAAAAGGGTGTCCTCCCTATCTAATTTTGATCATACTGTCTTTTTTTTTTCTTGATTTATTTTGTTCAACTTGTGACACTCATTTTTCCCTTTACTTCTCACTTGGTCTTGCTTTCTTGGCTCACTTGCTTGGTCTTCAACTTCTATCTTGATTCAGCAATGAGATCGATCTATTGGTTAGATAAGTTGAAATAAAGCAGAATGAAGAGAGAGTTGATCGGAAACGATTGACTCTTTTTATATCACTTGGAGAGGGAAAGTGAGAAGAGAGCAAGCAGCAGATCGATCAATCGATCGATTAGCAGCAGTTCGATTGATTAGAAGCAGGCCGGTTGATTAGCAGCAGATCGGTTGATTATTTAGATTACTTAATAAACAATTGAATGAGAGATAAAGCTCAAGAGCAATCACTTGATGTTTAGATTACTTGGGGAGAGAGAAACAATTGAGGACAACCAGTTGATTATAAGACTAATTAGAGAGAGAAACAAGTCGATCAAATACGGTCAGTGATTACTTGGGGAGAGAGAAACTTAAAGAGAGAAACATCAAGAACGATCTATTGATGTTTAGACTACCTAGAGAGAGAAACAAGTCAATCAAAAACGGGCAGTCAATCGATTACTTAGAGAGAGAAACAGTGAGAGAAACAGTGAGCAGCCGATTGATTGTTTTTTTAAGTACTTAAGAGAGAAATGATTGCAAACAACCATTAGAATTTTAGATTTCTTGAGGAGAGAGAAACAGTGGTTTTGACAATAAAAAAAGCTGATGAATTGGTCAATGGCCAGACGGAGTTGAAATTCAAGAAACGGTTGATCAAAAAAAGCAGGAGGTATGTAGAAACAATTCAGGAATAAATCAACCGAACCAGAGCTTAGATTTCCGAGGGGGATATCCCCTTGTTAATAAGCTCCCGGACCATCGATGCTTTTTCGTCTTGAATTGCCTTCTCATGAGCCTTCTTTTTATCCATTTGCTCCCCCTCTAGGTTATATTGATCACGTTCCCATTGTAGTTGGGCCTCAAGTTGCTTATCTTTTCTCTCATCGGACAACCGCTCTCGCTCGTCCTTTTGATTAGCTCGGGCATCTTCACGTTGCATCCTTTCTCTCTCCATGGTCATCTGGAATCAGGTGTTGGTAGAGTTGCTGAAAGCCGCTGCTAAGGTCGCCTTGGGTGCTACTTGAGGAGGGGCTGACTGTGCACTGGACATTGAACTAGTTTTTCCAATAGGAGTTGGCCGGCCACGGCCACGACTTGAGTTTGTACCTTGTTCAGACGGATTTGGGGTGGCCTGAGGCCTCGATTGTCCTGCTGTACTGCCAGCTTGTGTTTGACCGTTGTGTAAGTTGGCAGCTGGTGCTTGAGAGGGTACTTGCGACGGACAATAGCCTGCAAGATCAAGCGAGCTCAGACTGGGAAAGTTCAAACCTCGAGGAGTCGGAGTACTGTTTGGTAGATACAGCAAGTCAGGGAGATTGTCAGCCGAAGTTGATTGTGTAGGTTCCCACCACGATGTGGTATACCTTAAGGGTAGCCATCTGGCCCCTTTAAAAATTTTACAGTTTTTCTTTTATTACAAATTGCATACTTTTTACACCTTTTTTCTCATATATACACTCACAAATCAACCATTATGGCTCAAGAATTGGATTCTATGGTCAATTTCACCCTTGGTCACCACTGGAGGCGTCACTGGAACTCAACTGGATTGGAAGCTACACCCTCTGGACCATCACTACACTCAATTACACAACTCACCACCATGGCAACACTTCAACACTCAACACCAACAACAAATTACATCATTCACACTACACACATGCACGTTGCAGGACAACTACATACTCACATCATTATAGTACAGGTATACACATAACTACACTATCTTCTGACACTTGCTATATGTAGCTGCTAGGCTGGTCCTGTTGCTATGTCACTTGTTAATCTTCCTTGCAGCGGTTAGACTATCTCACACCACTCATGTAATACTCATCACCTCACCTTAGCTTGCAGGCTAGTACATCACCTCATGTAAAATGCTTCACCAGCATAAACCCCTCATGTAGACTTCTAGTTCAAGCTAAACTAACTCTTATGACATCATGTAGGTTGCTCAACCAGCCAAAATACCTCATGTACATGTTCTGACTAGCTAAATCCCCTCATTGTAAAGCTCTGGGCAGCTAAAATCTCTCATTCTCTTGTTCCCCTGAAGCTAAAATCCCTCACCTTTGTGTATTTAAGAGGCTCTCCTCTCAGTTGTTTTCCCCTCAGTTTTAGTATCCACCTATTTCATACCCCCTACCCTTACAAACCCATACATACCATTACATACCATCCCCTTACCATTGAAATATCAGCTAGACTCACTCTCTCATTCTCAAATCAACCTCTTAGACCTATATAAAACTGGGTTAAACCCTTTGTCCACCTGTTAAGCCACAGTTATCTTTTGATACACTCCACTATCACTTTATTAAACCTTCCAATCTGAGATTGGTGGGCTTGTCTAGTGTCTAGTGATCCAGGAAAGGCAGAGGTATCCTCATTCATCCCTTTCCACACTCAGCAAAAGGTTTTCACAAACACTTTTGAGCTTTACAAGGGAGTCCCCAACGTGATAGAGGATCCTGAAGTTTGGCAAGTGGATTAGATATATCTAAACCATTGTAGTGATTTTTATAGTTTATTTTAGTAGAATTTTAGTTAGTTTAGGCAGGAAAATTCCTGTTTTGACCACGTGACAAACCATATCTTTGAATAATCACATTCTGTTTAGCTTTATACGACTTAGTTCTTAGATATACCTAGTAGGACTCCGGATTAAGTAGTTAAATACTCAAGAATCAATTATAAAGTAGAAGACGAGGGGACCGATTAGCCGACGTACTAGAGTAGTTAGGATAAAAAAGTTTAACTACCAGGTGGTAGCCGATTAAAACTCAGTGCGAAGTAGAATACTAGTCTATGACAACCTCCACGAATCTATATAATTGAATAGTAGTATCATATTATTTAGTTTTATTAGTATTATTATTAGTTAGTAACCAAAACCCCCCAACCTTGCCCTGGATAAGAACGCCAGCGACATTAGTTAGAAGAATTTAGGACTACTACTAGAAATTATCAACAACTCAACTCAAGATAAAGCAACCAGAATCAGTTATTCTCAGTCATGGCGTTTTCTCAGGCTCAAGACGGACCGACTCTACCGACAACCAACCCAGCTTCAACTGGAATATTCTCTGGCAATCAAAACAATCCCAACATGAATATTGATCCACCAATAATACCACCTCTTTTACCCCCACCACCAATGCAAACAAGTCATACTCGAGTACGGCACTATCGTGAAAGGTATGGGGCTCATCAAAACATTCACCAAAACGACGACCCAGCTGGCTCTGGGAACACTCAACAAACAAACTACCCTGCGGGAACCTACGGCTTACCTCCGGACATTCAGGAAATGGACGAGCCTATGCCTAGGCCTGCAGTCATCATCAAGGAACCAGACTTAAGATATGAAGGCGAGAACTTTGAAGACTTTTTGGAACGATTCGAACTGGCGGCAGAAATCTACGGTGCTGGCGGCTATGACAAAGCACGTCAAGTGTGTAGATTTGTGAAGGTAGAAGAATTGAAGAAGGAATTGGAATCGATGGACGGATACGAGCAGCGGAACTGGACACTTCTTCGTGCAAGCATGATAGAAGTCTGGGGAGGCGTGGCAAAGAAGATTCGGTACACGATCAAGGACCTTTACAATTTGATTGATTTCTGTCAGAAGAAAGGCAGAATCAAGCAGCTGAACGATTTCAAAACTTATCAGTCAAAGTTCATGATAATAACTAAGTATTTGGTAAGAAATGAACATATAGTAAATGAAACCAGTGTCTCTCACCTTTTCTTTTTAGCTTTTTCAACAGATATACAGACGAGCATTAATCGAGAGCTAGTCAAGGCAGACCTTATTCCTACAGGGAAGGATGGTTATAACAAACCACCCCTCCTTTCGGATGTAATTGATGTAGCTGAGGATGAAATTCGAGCAAGGTCACTTAATGTCTTTGCAGCTAGTGGATTTGCCGAGGCCAACCAATCGATGCAAAGGACTCTGGACCAGAAGAAAGGCGACGGAAAAAAGCGTGAGAAGATGATGGACGACAATCCTCCGGAAGTACTTCAGAAACAGGTTGATAGCTTGGCAAAAGCAATTGAGTCACTCACAGGAAAATTGGAGAATCAACCTAAAAATGAATATTCTCGTGGAAATGATCGACCATCTGGACGACTTTATGAACCTCGACCCTGTTACTATTGTCATAAGGAAGGACATTCAACCATAATGTGTTACGAAGCACAAAAAGATGAACGAGAAGGACTAGTCAAGAAAGAAGGACGTGATTTCTACCTTCCTAATGGCGAGAAAATTCCATGGGATCCTTCAAGACCTATTCGGGTGGTTGTGGCTGCGGACTCCGCAAAACCTAAACCTCAGATCACCAAAGTATACAGAACCAATCACCCATCAGTTTTTGAACAACAGACGGAACCAACACCCAACTCAAACGACTACGTCTCATCAATGCACAAAATTGACTGGAATCCACCACACCTAGGTTCAGAAAATTTTGACAAGGTCAAATCCAACGCAGCAACAACACGAGCAGAAGCGCTCCGTGGCAGAAGAAAACCCATGGCGGCAAACGATGACTCAGCAATGGATTTGGACCCAATCGATGAACTTGAAGAAATAGTGGAAGAAGTAGCAGCCACCAGAAAAACGCCTGGACAAATTGCGGAACCTCAAGCAAAACCAACTGTTCAGAAAACAGAGAAGACGGTTGAATCAGCCTTAGTCTCAGAGTTGGACAACTTGAAGATACCCACCACTTTTTCTCAACTCACATCAATTTCACCAACATACGCTCAAGAAGTAATCAAGAAACTTCAGAAACGAATTCCGGAACACAAAAATTCAAAGTTTACCTATGTAAAGGGACCAACGCAAGACTCCAAGGTATCAGCATCAATGCTTCTTAATCCAGAAGAAGAGGACCAGGACTACAACTGCTTTTATAGTTGTGCCCTAGGTTTCATTGAGACTCACATATCAGGAAAAAGGGTAACTTTCATGGTTGACTCAGGTTCCATGGTCAATGTTATTCCAAGGCAAGCGGCAATCGACCTTAATTTGGAAGTCATCGAAGTGGACATACCCATGAAGGGGATTGGCGGGGATTGTTGCGACATCAAAGGAGTAGTGGAAAATTGTGCCATCAGCATTGGACGATTCACTGGACCAGTTCACCTCTTTGTTTCACCACAAGCTCAAGATTGTATCCTTGGACGACCTTTTTTGTTTGATTACGACTGCACTTTGGATTATCTAGGAACTGGGGAACTACTATCTTTTCAAGGCGATAGTGGCCGACGAATCACTGTCCCATTGCTAAAATAGGGCAGGGAAAAGGTTGGAATCAAATGAAGAACCTCAACCCAGTGGGAACTGCATACACCAAGGCGTATCAAACTCAAGAGACGGTTCAATCTCACTTTTCGGACGACTCGGACGACACCATAAAACCAAGCTTGGTTCAAAGGAAGCTCAAATGGGTCAAGAAAATCTGTCATTTTGTCAAACATAAGACTAGCAAGAAAAAGTCAGATCAATCAACCATCAACATCAATGCCTTTCAAGACAAGGACTTGAAAATCAACACTTTACTCACAACAGGTCTAGGATTGAAGGTTCAGGAAGATCTCTGCAAGAACTGGAAAAAGGACAACTTGTGGTGTATGACCAAGTACAAACCAGTAGCCAAGAAAGTCCGACCAGTAAATCAAGCAATGCCTCAATCGATCAATCCCCCATTACAACGACCTCCACTATCTCGAGACCCATACCAAACACCACTGACACCAAATCCACCCGAGTTTAAACCTACTAACAAGATAACCGAGGAACGATTGGGTGTTATCAACTTTGGACCAGAAGGATGGTTGTGGCCCGAGGAAATAAAACTTTTCCGACATCTCATTGTGCTCAGGGAAAAAGCCTTGGCATTTTGCCCAGCTGAAAGAGGACTCTTGAAACATTCTTATGGCTTACCTTATGTCATTCCTGTCATAGAGCACACCCCTTGGCAAAAGAAACCAATCCCAATCCCTGCAGCAATCAAGGACGAATACACTGAATTAGTTCGAGAACGGGTTCGAACAGGATTATACGAACAATCAACCTCAAGTTACTCAAGTCCGGTATTCTGCGTAGCCAAGCATGATGGAAAACTTCGGATTGTGCACGATCTACAAGAAATGAACAGAGTCACTATACGGGATGCAGGCTTGCCTCCAGCAACAGAAGAATTCATTGAAGCTTTTGCAGGAAGAGCATGCTATGGCTTGGGTGATATTATGGGTGGCTATGACGAACGAGAATTGGCTCAAGAATCAAGACCACTTACAACTTTTGACACACCACTTGGACGTTTCCAACTCACTAGGCTTCCTCAAGGAGCAACCAACTCAGTAGCAGTATACCAAGCACAGATGATGTGGATTTTACAGGATGAAATTCCTGAACATGCTGGTGTATTCATTGATGATGGCGGCATAAAAGGACCAAAATCGACCTACGGCGGACAAGTTTTGGACAACAATTCGGGAATACGACGATTCATTTGGGAATACGCTCAGACTTTGGAACACATATTGTTTAGAGTAGAAGAGGCAGGACTCACAGTATCAGGAAAGAAATTTGCTTGCTGTGTCCCCGCCTTGGATATTGTTGGACATATTGTATCTCAGCAAGGCCGACGTGTATCTAAGCAAAAGAAGAACAAAATCCTGACATGGCCAACACCTGGAAACCTGACAGAACTACGAGGATTTTTAGGCATCATTGTCTATGTTCGAATTTTCATCCAGAATCTTTCAGAAATAGCTGCACCTCTAAGACAACTTACCAGGAAAAAGCAGGAATGGATCTGGAACGCTCTTTGTGATCAAGCTTTTAATCGACTCAAGGAAATTGTGGGCAAGGACATTGTTCTCAAAAGCCTTGACTATTCAGCAAACGCAGGACTGATCAAATTGGCGGTTGACTCGAGCTTCATTGCAGCAGGAGCTGTATTAATGCAAACCGAAGTGGACACCGGATTGGATCGACCAGTACTTTACGAATCTATAGTATTTTCACCTGTGGAATCAAGATATTCTCAGCCAAAATTGGAGTTATGTGGGGTATCAAGAGTATTGAAGAAATTACAGACTTATCTTTGGGGCCAACACTTTGAGCTTCAAGTGGATGCAAAATCCTTGATTCAAATGATAAATTCCCCATCCCTTCCAAATGCGGCCATGACACGATGGGTGGCCTTCATCCAACTATTTTCTTTTGATATAGTTCACAAACCTGGGAAAACCTTCACCTTGCCGGATGGGCTTTCACGACGACCCATCTCTAGTGATGATGAGGAATTTTACCAGGACCAGGAAGACTTTGACGAGGAAGAACCAGTAGTCAAACCATGTTATAATTTTCAGATTTGTTCTCACGCTGAAATGTTAGAACTCAACGAATGGGAGTCTCCTGGATATTGGCGAGACGTACGGCACTATTTGGAAACCTTGGAACAACCTGCGCATATGGATCGACTGGAATTTGCAAGACTTCGACGGAACTCAGCACGATTTTTCAGCAGTGATGGACGATTAATGAGAAAACATTCACCTGCTCCACAGATTGTGGTAACCAGGGATGTTTATCAGGAAAGATTACTCCGGAAAGTTCACGAGGAACTGGGGCATCGAGGCATTGAAGAAACCTATCAGCGGTTGGTAACCAGGTTTTGGTGGCCGAGCCTGAAAAAGAAGGTCAAGAAATGGATTCAAAGCTGCGAAGAATGTCAGAAGCGGGATCCTTTGGTACCAAGGGAGATTCGAAACGCAACCGGAGACAGTTACCTTTTTGGACGAGTGGCTCTGGACGCATGCCATATCAAAGCTGGACAATACAAATATCTCATTGTAGCACGGGACGATTTATCCGGATGGGTAGAAGCCGCTCCTCTAGTCAAACTCACAGCTAGTAATGTGGCCAAATTTCTTCTGGAATCCTGGGTATACAGATATGGAGCAATCAAGACAGTCACAGTGGACAATGGCGCCGAATTCAAAGAAGATTTCATTGAAGCTGTCAAAAAGACTGGCGCAAAACTCAAGTTTACAACACCATATTATCCAGAAGCTAATGGAATGATAGAACGCGGACACCGGCCAATCAAGGATACTCTAGTCAAAATGTGTGGAGAATCTGGAGGCAAATGGCGGGAATATCTTCCATTAGTATTATTTTCCGACAGAATTTCAACAAAGAGAACTACTGGCTTCACTCCTTATGAGCTGGTTTTTGGACACTTACCAGTGTTGCCAGTGGACCTAGAAATGGATACATATTTAGGGATAGACTGGTCAGAAATCAAAACTACAGCAGAACTCTTGGAAGCCCGGACAATGCAACTGGAAAGAAGAGAGGAAATTCTGGAAGAAGCTCACGATAAAATGATCAAAGCCAGAGAAGCCTCTGTCAGATACTGGGATCGAAAAATGGCGGCACGGCTACGAAGACCTTTGAACACCGGAGATCTAGTTTTAATCTACAACAAAAGTTTGGAAGACCAATGGGGAAAGTTATTTTCTAATAAATGGAATGGACCTTTCAAAGTCAAGGAACAATTACCCAAAGGATCTTACTTACTGGAAGAACTAGATGGAACTGAACTTCACCGGACATATGCGGCATCACATGTCAAAAGATTTTATCCTCGAGGACGACGGCTGGACGAGATTAAGGACGACGAAGAAGACCCAGAAATTGGAAGTAATGATGATGAGAGTCAAAACAGCTCTGATCATGAGGAAGATTCCAACGGCTCGGACGGAAATAGTTCAAATTAAATTCAGCTACCTCCTGGGCACGAGACTAAACTGTTCAAGACCTCTCAAATTAACAAAAGAAGTCAAAAATATTAGTACTTGAAGCTTTAATCAATATTTTCTTTTCAATTTCACTGTTTCTCACAGAAAATGCCAAAAAAACCCTAAGAAAAATTGATGAAAAACCCATTAAAAACACAAAAACATACATAAAAAGCACAAAATATTATGAAAAATTATTTCAATCTTCTTTTTTCTCATAGATTTCTTTTTTTGGTACCTATATGTTTCCTTGTCTAACTTCAACAACTCAAAAAACCCATAAAACACCAGAAAAACATTCAAAACAATACCTAAAAACAACCAGAAAAACCAAAATTAATTAGCATTGCTGGCTTCAAATCTTTAAGTTGGGGGAGGAAACTCACCTGTACTTGTTGATATGAGGATTAATATTATTTAAGTTGGGGGAGGAATTCCTTCTTCTTTTTCCAAAACACTCATCTTCTTTCCTATCTTTTTTTTCTCTTCATTTCTTTCTTCTCAGTTAGGTCTTCACTGGCTTGAAGATCCCTCAATTTCTTTTACTCACTTATGCTCTCACTGCACTTCCTTGGGCAACCTCACTTACTTCTCTCACTTAGTTTAGGTTGGGGACAACCTTTTTTTAAGTTGGGGGAGGGGTTTGGGCTTTCATTGATAGCAACAGGCAGTAGAAGCTAAGATAAGTTAAGGCTAAAACAAAAATAAGTTAAGGCTGAGACTAGACAAAATTTTTTTTGGATTTTTAGTTATACTGATTTTTTTTAGCTTAAGAAAGTTTTATACTTTTTTTTGAGTTAAGAAAAAGATTATGTATCGATTTTTTTCGGTTTTAGTACTTTTTTACCCCTATAGACTGGCTGTCCATGATGTTCAGGCAGCAGAACCGGTTCCAACGAAGCAGCCTAGACACCAGGGGAAGTTCAAAAACAAGAAGTCAGCAACCAATCAACAAAATAACAAGCAAGAATCACAACTTACATCCTACACGACTCGGCGAGTCATGGTACGGTAGCGGCGAGTGATGAACTGAAACAAACGAACCCGATCTTGACGTTCGTTGGCGTTGGCTGCAGGATGACGGGTCCAATGATGGACCAGGGCCGAAGTAGCTGACTGGTAAAAATTGTCGAAGTGTTGAGGTGTGAACTCATATCGATCAAAGCGCTCGGGCGCTGCGCGGCGGTCTAGCAGGGATTCGATCTGGTGACGAGCCAGGAGGTGATAATCGTCTGGATCATACATACCCGCGGGAGTCGGAGACGCGACTCGAACTTGAGGAGCGAGGAAGTCTTCCGCGGTGTGAAAACTATTGCCGGAGCGGATAGAGCTGAGGTTGCTAGGAGCTCTAGCAACGTTAGCGGCCGGGACGCTAGGCGAGGACGGGACCGGAATCGGAGTTGGGCGGCGTTGAACCGCAGGCGGAATCGGATGTTGATTTAAGAATTGATCGATGTCGACCTGGGCCCGGTTGGAATTGAAGAACTTAGATAAAGAAACAAACGGCATCAGTAACTCTCCAAGACGCACACATATCAGCAACAAAACCTCGACTTACCGGAGCATGACCGTGACCAAACGGCACCCCAGCGGCTGGACCGTTGGGGTAATAGAACCGGTTAGCCTGACCTCGAATTCGGAGCTGGGCAGGTGGGAGCCAACCACGACCACGACCAACTCCACGGCCTCCACCTCTGCCTCCAACAAAACCTCGACCGCGTGGACCCCCTCCTTGACCTAAGGGGGGGAAAGCTTGACCAGGAGGGTGAAACATAGGGGGGTGCGGATAAAAAATGGGATGAGGGAAGCGAGGCGGATTAAGACGATAAGGGGGCGGCTGAAAATGAGGAGCTCTTGGCTCAGGGACATTCATGCCCACACCAGTATTGGTAGTGGGAGGGGTGGACATGGGGTAAGAATGGTAGGTTCCAGGACTCGGATCGGTTGAAGGAGGCGACGGACGCATATCTTTAATCTACACAATCAATCAACAACAACAATTCAGCGCACCAGTCGGGTACACTGGGAATACGGCCAGACAACTACTAACACGAAGTAAACTACGGTGAAGGATTCTTAACGAGGATAGTACTACTGCAGGCAAGGGTGTGTGGACTAGAGACGGGAGGGGAAAAGACCCTACCTTTATACTAGACTGAGGTAGAGGAATCAAGCGGAAACGTTTGCTGGGTTTCTTCATCTTACCATGGCCTCGAAGGGGAAGCAAAAACCAGCCAGCTTGCGGATGAGGGTGTACCCGGTTAACTCCACTTAGTGCGGCAAAGTTGAAAGGACGACAGGCGATCTGAGACAAGAGGGATCCACGGCTAGCGTAGTTTTTCGACTGACCGGTGGTGAACCCTTGAGCAGGTAGGCTAACACGAAAAGAGGGACCTGAGGCTTTTTTGAAGGACCGGCCTCGGCGACAGGTATCTGGACTTGACGAGGATCCACCGCTAGTGCGCTTTCTCAGTTGGCCAGTGGTGAAACCTATGGCTGGGACCCAAACACAACAGTAGAAATCCAAGCGTATTGCGAAGGACCGGCCTCGGCGACGGCGTTTGGCGGGAGGAAGGAACTTAGGCTGGAAGATCATATCGGGTCTCTGATTCAAGCAACAGCCAGAACCAAGTCTTCAGTTCAACTACGTACTACGCTAAGGATCACGAACAAAAAGAGAAGAAATACAAATTACTTACTGTTTTTTTTCGACCGAGGATCTTGACGGTCGATCCGATTCGAAGATTGGAAGACGTTGGAAGTCGATTTTGTGAGGGATGTAGCGGTGCCGGTTGCCTGGTAGGTATTCAGACATATCCAGGGCCGTGGGCACTTGAACCCCGGTCCGGAACGGCGCACACGGCCTGGAGCACGGAGCACAGGGCGCGCGGGGATCGGGACGGGTACCAGACACCCCGAACCCCCAATTCTGAACTCGAGCGCAACCTCAAAGGATTAAGTAAGCTGCTGCGTACGATACGACTACTCGACGTCACCTGCTGCGGACTGCGGACTGCGCGCTGCGCACTCTCTCTCTTAAAAAAAAAAAAAAAAAAAAAAAAAAAAAAAAAAAACCCCCTTTTTTTTTGAAATTTCCAAGGAAAAGGGGGGGTCTTTTGTGGCCCATTTTTGTTAGTAAGAAAAATGAAAACACCCAAATCAAAGGTGGAAGTAAGAACTTGCTACGGTAAATTTACACAACACAATGGACAACTCAACACGGCTAATTCCACGGCACCCTGGCGGGAAGTTTTTGGCGGAATTGTCTGGGGACAGACAATAAGTTGGGGGAGGATGTGGTATACCTTAAGGGTAGCCATCTGGCGAGTAAAAAATTTCAGGAGAAGAATCCATCTGATTTTCGGTGTGTTCGTCCTCCAGATTATCATTCCCCACCGCTCCGTTGTCTTCTTCGTCATTCGGGAGATGTTGTGGAAGCTCTTGAGAAGGCATCGAGTGGTCGAATTCATACATTGAGGTGACGTTTGCCTTCTGTCCCAGGAGGATATCTAGACAATGATAGCACAGACATTTCTCTTCAAGTAAATCGTAGAGATTCTGGGGCCCATCCAATTCCTCAATACCTGCGCCGGTATTCTCTTCAAACCTGTTTGTCTCAACATACTTTTTTCGCCAGCGAGTGATTCGTTGTTGAAGTCGGCGGCCGTTGAGTAATAAGTCTGGGTTGAGCTGATTCAACCATGTTGCAAACACTTCGGAAGCCTGTATTTTGGTCATTGGCTTGACACCAACAGTCGTCTTTGAGCCATCGCCATATATCGATATATAGTTTTTTCGTCTTCCAGGTAAGACATGATATTCTCGTGATCCTCACTTGAAAAAGCCTTGCCTCAATCTTCAGTGTCCTCTAACTCTGACGAGTTGGTTTGGGGTTCTTCAGCGTCTTAGCCTGCTTTTCTTGCTCCTTGATCAGCTTCGCCATTTCACGATCTTGTTCTTTTTGGAGTCAAATTCTCTCTTGTTGATCCCGCCACTCTGCCATCTCTTTCTTGGTACGGCGGCCACGTTTAGGAGCTTGAGGGTTCTGGCTTTTGTCGTTGGAGGTGGTAGGCTGACTAGGCTGAACACCGGAAGATTGCTGCTTGAAATTGGACAATGATTCTGATTGCGACATCTGCAATTAATTAAATTAAAAATCAGTACTAAGTTTGATGGTTCGAAGGACCAAAATCCTGGAAGACAACAAACCGAATTGTCCTGAGATGCATCCATGATGAGGACCTTGGGGGTGGAAATGAGGTGGGGAAAAAATGGGATAGTCAGGGGTGAGTGGGCTTGGCGGGGGGAGTAGTATGTATGATTAAAGGAGGGCAAGTCTGACGAGCAATTAGCCAGCAACAGATGAGCAGTGCTGCGGGTTTGGATTGTGGTTAAATTTTATGATAAAATTTTGACGAGCAAGCAGTCAGGATTTTGTGACATGTCCTTAAAAAGGCCCAACGTGAACAGGCCTAATGAATTTTGCTTTTTGTTTTTTTTGTTTCATATTCCTTTTTATCATCCCCCTATCCACCACTCCACAAAAGCTCAGAATTTCACATGTGATAGTTCTTTTTTAAATGAAGTAATTGATGTGTCATAAAAATCTGGGAGGATACTGTACTTCTCTGCTCGGCAACACGTCCTACTCCGATTTGTTGTCCGGGGTAACTTGCTTGATGGTCTTGTAGGTAGGTAAAATAACTATTCTTTTATTGCATGATGCGTGTACTTAACAGATCCTCTAATAATGTAGTCATAATTGTGATCAGTGCATGTATTGAATGTATCAATTCTATTGACACTCAATACTTACTATTCAATACATGTACATATTTATTTGTAATAATATTTGACCGTGAAAATACTGTAGAACAGGGATAACTTGTGGTACAGGTATTTCACGGACAAAGGAGTGAAAGGTAAGTGATAATTACTTATGTAGAACACAGGTATGTATTTAATAGATAAGTAATTAACAGATAAGATAAATGTAAGATAAATAAGATAAGTTAATGATAATGATAAGATAACAATAGGTAAAGGTAATCAACATTATGGATAAGTACTTATGTACATAAGTACAGGTGTTGCAGTTACTTGGTACATGAAAGGTACTGTGACATGTACTCTGTGGCTGACACAGTGAGTAACTTGAACTGTTGTCTTTTGTTCTTTTTATGATTAACTGATCTATTGCCACCTTAGAACCATTGTGTCACACGTCCATCCGATTCATCTGCCGCACCATGAGTTCTACCCACTGCCAACAAGGCCTCTGAAGATCGAGCAAGAGAATCATATACCACACTTGCCAGCCGAGTTGGATCTCCTTCTCTCTCCATCTCAGTCAGTTTTTTTTTCCTTTGTTTTACGTTGAGGTGAACTAACCTCTTTTTTTTGTCAGTCACATTGGTAGCCCATTATGACCTACGCTCGCACAACCAATTACCCACGCTCACAATGTTGTAGGAGGCAGGAGTGCAATGTGACACAAGAGTGTTGCAGACTTGGGTCCTTCTCAGTCCCCTTGAACCCAAAATGTAGTCCAAACTCATATGTCAGTAGCATCTGCAGTCAATTGGTGACGATACAACGATCAGACACTCGCCCCGCTCCCTGCACTCCTGCACTCTTCCGGCGAGGCTCCCGCGAGTGGGCCAGGTCTCCCCCACAAAGTAACCTCAACAGCTCCCAATCTCAGAGTCACAGTCTTCTTTCCAGGGCTTCGAACTTCTTCCGCTTGCCCAGCCAAAGTCAGGATGAGAATACAAGTCGCGCCACCAAGCTACAGTAATGGCCAGCCGGCACCCATCCATCAACAATGACCTCAAGACAAGGCGCCAATCCATCAACAATGACCTCAAGACAAGGCACCGATCATCAACAATGACCTCAAGACCAGGAGCCGATCAACAACAATCACCTCAAGACAAGGCGCCAATCATCAGCAATGACCTCAAGACAAGGCGATCAACAATGACCTCAAGACCAGGAGCCAATCAACAACAATCACCTCAAGACAAGGCAATCAACAATCACCTCAAGACAAGGCAATCAACAATCACCTCAAGACAAGGCAATCAACAATGACCTCAAGACCAGGAGCCAATCAAAAACAATCACCTCAAGACCAGGAGCCGATCAACAACAATCACCTCAAGACAAGGAGCCGATCCATCAACAATCACCTCAAGACAAGGCGATCAACAATGCCCTCAAGACAAGGCGATCAACAATGACCTCAAGACAAGGCGCCAATCCATCAACAATGACCTCAAGACCAGGCGCCAATCCATCAACAATGACCTCAAGTGAACCAACCACAAGAGTGTACTAGGATGCTCACTGATGAAATCCTGAAGGACACCAGAACTGCTCCCACGTAAGGATTTCCTTGATCAAAACGATTTCATCAAGTTGCCAGGGAACCATCTCCTAAACTGGCTTGCTACCTTGAGTAGCCTTGGCAAATGGGGGTTCAAATTGACGCTGCCCCTCTTGTCCTCCCTGCTTGTCGATTAGCTCCACCAATTTTCAGTTACTCAAATCCCAACAACCATTGAGTGGAAGCTAGCAGGCCCAATCACAGCACTTGGAACTTGGCCTACAAGAGGGGAACACACTGTGCAACGGAGTTAATCACAAGCTGGTGAGTGGTGCTCTCTTTTTCTCCAATAACACTGGTCTTTCTAACCCACTTGTTTTTGCAACAATTCTACAGGGTTGATGTCCACCTTGGTCCACCCAAGAATACTATATCTCTACCGCAAGCTGCTGAGGGGCCTGAGGCCTTCAATCAGCTATGCAGGCCTCAGGCATGCAGCTGGGCACCCTTCAAGTGCCAACCATCATGCCTACTCAAAATGATCCCATGTGGGCCTTGGATGATACTGTTAAGATCTGAGTCTGATACCTCTAGACTCAAGTCTCTCACACACTCTCAGCTTCAATTTTTCTAGTCTTTTTTCAAAAGACATCAACAAAAAAACCACTCTCAAGCTTTGTTCACATGATGTCGTCAATCTGAACTCTTTTCAGGGCTTGTTGGTGGAATCATATTTAAAAAAATAGATCTACCCAGGACCTTACCTAAATTATTTCATAATCTCTTTCTTTATAGATCACACTATGTTACAAATCAAGTGAGATTCAGATCAGCTGAAATAAATGAGTTGGGCTCTACTTATTTTTTTGGGCTGATGTGCCTATGATCAACTCCAACAACCAATCAGGGATTCCTAAATCAGGCTGGAATTTTATTAAGATACAATCTTTCATTGCCCCCATCTTTGGGGGCAGAGAGGGCTTTCAAATAAAAGGGGGACCGGATCAAATGAAGTATTTTAATTTTGAATTTCTCTGAGTAGTATAATGATTAAGATAGCATCAAAATGATTGGTGTGTTATACATGTGAAAGAGAACTTGAAACAGTTTTGGATTTTGCTCATGATCAGGGCCCTTGAAGATATGTAAGAACCTTGTGAAGATATGGAAATGGTGAAAAGAAAGACCAATCCCAATGTAGCATACAATCATAGTAATCAAGACCAAACTATCAGCTTATTTCTTCTGGTCATTGGCAATGGGTATTTTGCTAAATGACCAAATGATACAGTGTAATTCAGATTTGGGATGTAAGATTATGTGATGTCCTGTATATTTTTTGCAATTTGTAAATATTCTTGAGACATCTTTATCATATTTTGTTAATGGGTGTGTATTCTAAAAAATCAGTTCTCAATAATTTAAAAAATTGACGCCAAGAAAACATGTACCAAACTGGAAGCAGCCAGAAGGTGGGCTACTCCCAGTGTAGCTTGTTTTATAATGACAAAAAACACCAAAGAACAACAATTCTGCATATTCACTGTGAAATGTGCACATTGAAAGGATTGTTTTTTTTTGGAATAAATGTTAAGTAAGAAACAAAGTTTGATAGTTGTCTCTGAAATCAAACTGAGAGCATCTTCTTAAGATTTTTTGTATGTATAAAAAGAATGTACTGATTGTCTTTACAAAAAAACTTGACCCACAGTCAACTTTTTTTTGGACTTGTGTTTTTTATTTGTAGCATTTCAAATTCTTTTTGGGCCCCAGATATCCCACATCATTACTTCTTTTCATTACTTCTTTTTAGTACAATTTTGAACTTGCATGGGTTTGACAAGTGCCAAATTCAAATCACACCAAGTGATTTGGTCAAGTTGTTCAATTTTTCTGATCCTTGCAGGTTTTTTATCAGGCAGGCATACATAAAGTCATACTTAAGCCCATAGCTATGGGTTTAATGTTACACTACCCTAAATGGTCCATTTGAGGTAGTGTAGCGGCCCCTCAAAACAGCAATCCTGCTCAAAAACACTTTCTGAAGAAACACAAGAATCCTTTCTGAAGACCAAGTGGTAAATCTTGAATCCCTCACTAAACACACTCAACATAAATCCTCAGAAACCCCTTTTTAGACTGAAAAGTCAGAGATTGCAAAGAAAAAGTAGTATAACTTGAGGGGCTGCTTCCTAGTATAAAAGGTCTGATGAGGACATGTGTCCAAGGGAAGCTGAGGTTAGGAGGTAGCTATGTAGATGGCAAGCACAACTCAATTATACTTTGAAGAATTTACTTTTGAAAATAAAGACCAACCAATTACTCTTCCTGATTGGTTTTTTATTTTTTTAAGCCGGGGCAAATTGAAAAACATGTTGTCATTTGTTATATGTTTCAGGAGATGCTAAGGATTGGTTCAAGTTTGTTTGTCCAATCAGTTTGAATGATGTCCTGATCCATCAGAGGATGCTAGAGCCAACAGGCATGGAATTTTCAGTGAGGGTTTTACACAAGATGTGATGAATGAATGTTCAGAGTGAGGTAGTAGTATTAAGTAAATGTAGCATTGGACCCTTTGTTGTTGGAATAGTATTCCTTGTCTTAGCCCACAAAAGAGGGGATTTTTCAGGTAAGTTTCTTGATTGATAAACTTCCTGAAAGCTAAAAAGTCAACATCATCCAAACTCATTGATCATATCTTGCCATCATTAAGCAGTAAAGTAAGAAGTTAATACTTCTTATGCCTTTTTCTTTTTAAAGAAAAAGAGAAGAGTAAATTATTAAATAATTATTCTTATTGATGATCATATGTTAGAGTCTTCGAATGGACAACATTACTCAGGTCACTAGTATGACAAGAACTGTATTCTTTTTATCATAAAGTGAAGTGCATTTTACTGACTTCAAAATAAGAATAATGCAAGGGTAATTCAGAAAGATAATTAACGTCAATTAAACCCTTGGGGTTGAACCGAGACTGTGTACTTGTTTTTGGAGCTGCTGACTTGAACAGATTGTTTTTGGTGTTCAGGATGTGGGATTGAAACTTCCTCTGTTTGCTGTCCCTAGTTTGAGCCTCCTCAGCCAGAGGTTGAGAATCCCTTTTCAAAAGGCCACTTTTGTCTGTTCTGGATTGGCTGGCATTTGGTCGTGCAAGATCATTCCAAGGGAACTCAAACCTAAGGTGTTTTGCTTGGATCGGATCATCAGGGTTCCTCAGAAATTCCTTGCTGCTCTCAGAGGGCCCCAATTGTATTCTAGATAAATGAGGACTCGGAGCAACACCCCTGTCTGCTGCTCCCCCCAAGCCCTTTGAGCCACTGGCCTCAGCAATTGTCAAGGGTCTTTGACCGTCTTCAAATGGATTGGATATCTTTCTAGCAGTCAGTCTGGCAGACGATCTGGTTTTGACTGTTTTTTTCAGGCCAGCAAAGACAGATGGGATCGAAGGTTTGGTTAGTTTTTTCATTTTTGAACTGGAACTGATTTCATCCTTCTGTACGGCGAATTGCGGGCGCATATCAGACATTTTCAAGGACTCAGAGATTTGGCGCTTTTTTCCCTTTGGCTCTTTGGAGTTGGTGAAATTTTTGCAAGGCTTGGCACGGATATCTGAGTCAAAAGTAGGACTCTGGGAGGATGCATGGGTTTTTGGTGAAAAGGAGTCACCCTCCAGCCAATGTTTGGTGGGTGAGACTTTGAACTTCAATGCGGTTTTTGGATTCGAACCTTCAAGAGCCTCCGTCTGCACTTCATTAAATTTTTTCCGAAATATTGTTTGGGATTTTTGGTTCTTGCCTGATTCCTTGTTCTGAGCCTCTGAGAAAGAGCCGCTCGCCAAGTGATTAAATTCTCTGCCCGATGGCACTTTTGTTATCTTCATTTCCAAGTTATGATCAGAAGATTGGGACGATGTTAGAATTTTGTCCTCCTCCTCAGAGTCATGGTACAAGGTGGGTTCAGCTTCAAGGTCGGCCTTGAATTGGCTGTAATCATCAGGGATTGAGTTGATACTCTCTGATTGGATTGGAGCGTCTTTCCCTTCAGCTTCAGAGTATGATTCAATAATATCTTCCGAGGCTCCTTGGGCTGGTTTCTTTGATTCTTTTTGTGAGCAAATTGAATGTTCAAGAGTTTTCATAGGCTTAAGCAATGGGATGACCCCCAAGGAGGTTTTGACTTTGGTCCCGCATGTCTGGGGTGTGACGGAATTAGTAGGAAATTTCCGTGGTTTGTTTGCTGGTTTCTTTCTGCACTGGTCCACTGGTGAAAAATGAATTGAATCATTGGGCAAATCGACGATCCGAATGCACTTTGATTTTGTTTCTTGGCCAACTTGCTGCCTTGTACGTGAGCCTACAATTTGACATTTTTGTTTTGGAGCAGCCATTATTTGTTCAGAACTATTGTTTGAATCTTCTTCTGGCAATAAGTCAATCCCCACTTCTCTCTGGACTGACTCAACCCTTTGACACAAATTCGGATGTGGGGGCACTTGGAAAGGATTTTCAGGTTCCCACCAGCAAACCAGTTCATTTTTTGATGTTGGGTGTTGTATCTTTTCAGTTGTTTTTGGAGAATCCGGAGCAGATTCTATGTACACAATCACCCCTCTCGCTTCTTCATCACCCGTGCATGGGGAGTGGGAAAGACTCAGAGGATAAGATAATTGCTACAATGAGTGAGTGAGCAATAAGCATGCTGGTGAATCAAATAAGTGACCAGGATGAGTGGTGCTAAGAAGGCCCTCACTATTTTTCGTTCCTGCAAGATGCTGAGGATTGGATTGGCAGACTGCGTATCCAATGTTAGCACCAGTGTTGCTCCTATGGCATTGCTATCTGGTGCATAATGGATAGCTGGTGCACAGTTTTTGACAGGAAAGGGAGCCTGGAAATCTATAGATAAAGTTGATTGGGTGTATGCTTTTTGTTCATATGCCCAAAGTAATACCAGGTGTCAGAATTGTCCTCATAGAAGATCTTAATTAGACACGCATTTTCAGGAACCTACAGGCCAACAGTTGACTACACTTTGATCTCCCAGTAAGCCAGGCTGCCAAGATTGCATGGTAACTGATTTCTGCAGTTATTTCTTCACTTTCTTTGACCAAATGATCTCCCTGCCAAATAAACCTTGTCAGCAACTGTTGTTGACACTTTCATGACAGACAGGATCTTACCGGCTGGGAGACCCAGCAGCTCCATGTCAAGGAGTGCTTGTTGAAGTGTACAGTTCTGTGAAAAATCGGTGCCAAACTAGTGTTAAAGTGAATGGAATGATCTGAAACAGCACCACTTTGAATTGGCATGGCGCAAGCTCTGAACGTAAAGATTAAAGGGATAACATTAACTTTTCAACCGGGGTCAAAAGATTGATTGGGTGAGCTGTTGAAATTTGATTTTCAAACTAACCTGGAATGATCATTCTGGAAAATTTGGTCCTCAATGTCACCAAGGCCAACCCAAAACTGCTTGTTGGACATGGAAACTAACTGAGATACCATTTCTTCTTGAAAGTTTTTCCCAAATCTTTTGGCTGGGAAGATCTTGATGAACCAATCTCGCCGAGCTGTCTTAAGGATAGCCGTAACGCTGTGTTGGCGGTAATGAAGTCTTTGCACCAAGATCGATTTCAATTAGGACATGACCTATCTCTCAAGCAAACAGCCAGCAAAACTCACCAGAGTGGTCAAAAATAATTTGGGATAGTATCACACTTGAAAAAAAAATGTAAGATACAATTCTCTTTAGCTTGTTCCTCTCTAAATCCGATCATTTCTTCATACTCACGGACCAAATATGGTAGGGTCACGTATCAACTCCTTATTTTCCGGTGATCCCATGCTCAAGGCTTCCCCTGCGTCCCTAAGCTAATAATTCCAGTTGCAGATCAGTTTGACCTGGGATGTGACCTTTAATTTAACACAATAGCAGAATAATTCTCTTACAGATCTCTGCACATATTCACTCAGCCGTTGTGGGTTCATTGAGTCTTGCAAGCCTACAACATGAGCCAGAAAAGGGTAAAAAACGTTTCCTACGCAGACTTGAAATTGACTGGTTTTTGGGTCATGTTGCACGTCGTTCATGAAAATCTGATGTCGGTTCATGAAAATCTGATGAGAAAGTAGAATACAAACAGAAATCATTTGAGCTATGTTGTTTTGTATGAGAGCAAGATTGCCAAAAGGCATCATCAAACAGAAGTTCTTACTTACTCTGATTCCCTCTCCAAAGGCCGCCAAAATACGCTCCCAACATTGGCCAATATGTTCCGAATCATCATTGACACAAGCCTGTCGAACAAGTGAGAATGGGCCTTGACATTGTTCAAGTTTGGCCTTGTAAATGTAGCTCATTAGACCCAAGATTGGTGAGCTCTTGACAGGGGACGCAGGTCTGATTGCCGAGAAGAGATTTCTGAGTGGTAGTTTGCTACAAAAGAGATAATTGGTTAACCTGACGTAGTTATTTCAATCGATCTGAAGAAGTGCGATAATTACTATAAGGATGCAACTTGATGTCTGAAAAAATAACATAACCGGGGGCAATCCTTGACCAATCGGGCATTGTCTTTTGGATTACCTGTCTATGAGTTTTGAAGAATCTAATCAATCATTTGCAATCGACTCATGTCCAAATAGAAGTGGGTTACTTACCTGATGGTCGATGATCATTTTGAAATGTCCCAGAAGCTCTTGGACAATGGAAAGGAAATTGGCATGTGGGGATCGATTGAGGGAGACACCCTGGGCCTTTTTACAAATGGCTTTATTGAATTTTTTGAGAGCTTGATAGGAGTCCTTCAAGAGTTCTAGGCTAGTCGCACGTTGATCATTAGGCGCTGGTGACTTCTGCTGAGGGAAAGCCATTGGGAGTCAAATGATTTGATAGAGATCAATGCAGCTCTCTGCAGATTGGTCAACATGATAATGAGTACTGGGTGATGGCGGTATGTTCTGTCTGGGTTAGTTGATTAGTGTTGGTAATCGGGATCCATTAAAGGTTGGAGAGGCTGTCCCCCCCGTTGACCGCTCTAGCCAGTATACCAACCTGCATCCGCAAAGGTAAGCCTTTGTTCGAGCACTATGACTTTCTCGCTGTTGGCACCTCCGACAATAAGGAAGGACAATCCCTTTCCGGATAATGTACATAGGTGTGCTACAGTATTCATGTCAAGATGTCAGGACAGGCCCCTGGGCTTACGCCAGGTACTTGTCGAGATTGGTATAACCAACACCGGCGAGTCATCTTTTTCTTGTTTCTGAAATCCAACATAAACGGGTACCAACTTTTTTTCTCATACATATCTGAATGAACCATGCTTTGGCTCAAACAGTACATCTGCAGCGAGTCGAAGAGCTGTCGTCAACCCTGACAATGAACACCGACTCTTGCCTCCACCATGAGGCCAAATGAAAGTCACACCCAGCGGATTATTCAAATGCACTGGTACATTGGTCAGCTGGAGGGGTCCCGCCAGACTTCTACATTCCTGGCGAAACCCATCTCACTTATAGGTCTTTGGTAGGTAACACTCTAACTCTATTTTATCTCTAACAATTCTTTAGGCTAATACACGATTCACTCCTAAGTCACTCTGTTTTTCTGATATGTTCTGAGTCATAAGTCCCCCCTCCTCCCCCTCTCTTCTGCTCCGAACTCCACTCTTCCCCATTATCCCACACTCAAGCTCCCTCCTGCTTCCCACAATGTCCTCCGCTGTCACTCCCTCGGACTCCGCTTGTCACCCCTCCGACGCCTGTTGGTCCAGGTACTCCTCCGGCCGCTCATGGACAGGTCTCCCACCGCCGCTTCCGCCTCTGGTCCTCTCCGAACCCCACTTCTGCCCCTCGGTGCTCCCCGCTCCTTGTAGCCCCTACGCAGTATACGCTGAATCCCCGTTCCGCAGTCGGCCGTGAACCCTGGTGTCCGCCAGTGCCCGGATTCCCCGCAGCAAGCTTTTCAGAACCTTGTGCATTCAGATTCTAAACCTTTTTTTACCTATACTCACTCACTCAAGCCATATCCCATTTCTTACTGGTTCACTAGTTATTTGCAGTTTTAGTTTTACAGATATTATTTTTTACATTTACATTAGACATTAACTACACCACAGGTCGGTCCGGACAACTTTTGGTTGGTGCGCTGTATGGTTGTCCGACCAGTTTTCTGTGGCTCTGCAAGGACCATCCTATGGATGGCACTCTCAAAACCTTGAATTGGACTTTTGGAATAAACCATCCATTGGGTGGTTTTCTAGCAGGGCAAACCTCAAAAAATCACATCCATACTGGGCTTGAACCCACAACCTGCCTGCATCAGTGTGATGCAATGCGACAATCCTTACCAAGTGGACTATATCAGATTTAAGAGTTCCCCACCTAAATGGTACATACGTCCAGATTTTTATGCAAAGCTAATTTTCCAGCTTAATTTAGACTTTTGACCCCCCAAGTCATGTGCATTTTGGAATGAATTTTTGACAATCAACTGCATTTTAGCCTGTTTTTTCAACCATCAACCACCCCACCTGTAAAGTGAAAATTGGGCACTTTCAAAAGTGTCCATTGGACACTCTTGATTGAGAGTGTCCAATGGATGGTTATTTTTTACCATCCAGAGGATGGTCTTGACCACCAGGCATCACTTGGATGGTTTCCAAAGCATCCAAGTGATGCTTGGGGCACCAGAGCATCCCTTGGATGCTTTCATAGCGTCCAAGGGACGCTCTTGGTCAGAAAACATCCATTGGATGTACAGGTTTTCTAAAAACCCGCCCCGTGGTGTACATACAGTACATCTTTACAGATCACTACATACATCATATGTTTCACAAGTACTATCTTCTTACATATATCTCTTCTCATTACATCAGCCACACTCCTTTACAAGTATTTCTTTTCACCTTACATACTACATATATTTTCTCAGACACCCTCCTTACAATTATGCTTTCTCATATGCCTTCAGGATAACAGTAGTACACTCATTCACAGTCTTTATCTTTTGGGATTGTTTTTCTTTACTCATCCTCCTTTTTGATTGTTTACTTTTCACATCTCTTGTGCTACATCTGTATGTATTGTTCCCATAGCCAGAATAACTGTAACCTGTGCTCATTTGTACCTTAGAGTATATATACAGTCTTCTTATCATTTGTACACCCCTTATGCAATTTCTCCCCTACAGATATTATTGTGCCCCTCAGATAAAATCTATTTTTACTTTCAGAACTCATCTCAGTGACCTTGCCCTGTTTGGTGCTTTGCCCCCAGAAATACCTTTACACACAGTGTCCTTAGAGCTCTGCTTTATTTACAACCCTCATATTCTCACTTCTTCCCCTGTAGGATTGATAAGGAGCAAACTCATTAGTTATAGCAGCCTAAGAATCAGTTAGGAATTAGCCACACCTCTTTCTTATTTGCTTAGTGTAACCCTCTCTCCTCAGCAATATTAGTCTCAGAGGGAAGCCTCATCAGCACTCATAGCCTCAACTTACATTACTAGTAGTGTAGTTTTCTATTTCCCCTCTAAGCTCTGTTCTGGTTGTTCAGCAGTTCCACACCGGTTCAAGCTTGACCTGACTGTTGAACAAAGGAAAATAAAAAAATGACCAAGATATTTTTTTTTTTGACAAATTGTCTTGACCAATATGCTTTGGGGGCTTGCCCTTAGTGGGCTCTCAGATGACTGGAAAATCATGTTTAAATAATTGGTCACTGGTTGACAAAACAGGAGCCCAACAGTGGGCCATAACAACTGTTGGTACATTGGTTCAGTGCTGTGGTTTGTGAAACCTGTTCACAGGAACCAGTTGAACAACCGTTCAAAACACCAATTTTCAAATGATTTGGTTTGCCCAACAGTTTTGTGGCATTTATCCAGTTGAAGAACTGGTCAAAAAGGGGAACCGTTGTGCAAATGGTCCCAATAAAAAAAGTGGCCCGGTCGTGTAAGTAATGATGAAGATGGGGAAGAAGGAGCCTTTACATCTTAATTCTGGGTCGTTAAGGGAAAAATACAGGAGCCTGTGTGGCCTTGGCAAGTCTCCTACTAAGCCATGGGAACCTGAGGATCAGCTATACCACATGTAGAGCTGGGTTACAGGTGTCAAGGGGATGATGCAATGATAGCAACCATGTTTACAGGTTGTTTTGACAAAACTGTAAAACACATTTAGCCTATGTTATCATTGCATTATGCATGAGCTGATCCTCAATGAGAGTAGTTGTCCCAATTGGGCCAAAAGGGCCACAGATCACCCAAAACAATTTAATAATGAGGGCTGTGCTCATGTAGTTGAGGTTTTGATGATGTAAACCTTGTTTGTAGATTTTTTTTCCCAAACTGAATGGACCTTAAACACACCTGTAGCCCCCCTACAACTTGTAGTATGATGTAACTGGAGGGCTCTGTAATGTAGCTCTTATGTCACTCAAGGCTTACATCAAAGTAAGTGAAGGAGTAATAATTAAGGGGTACTCTTGGTGAGGTACCTTAGGTTAATTTACATGTAGATTCAGGATCTGCAATGATATTCTAATGCATACTTTCAGAAGTTATCAGTAGATTGAGAACCCTCTTGTAGTTATTGGTAAGCTGATAGTTAGTTTGAATTGAAATCTTTATTTATCTTTTGTTATCAAATTGTATCAATTTTTTTTTGAAATGTTTTCTATTAATATCTTTCTCTCTTGGTCTTTGTTTCTCCCCACTTCTTTCTTTAATCTTCATCAATATATGTTTGGCCTCTTCTATCATTATCATACTAGAAATAAAGACTAAACATAAACACCTTTCAACCTATTCAAGAGTTTATTAATAAAATTCCCCTTCTATTCCTAATATAGATAATATTTCCTCTTGGTAATATTCATATTCATTTAAGGAAACAGACTAGTAGGCAGATCCTCACAATCTTTTAAGACAAGATCAGACGCATTTCATGGCTCATTTAACCCCAGAGTCACTGGACTGTTTGTTGCATTGTATCTTGTTCAGTTCCCTCAACACAAAATACTGAATACATGTGCATGTCAACTTCAGAGACAAACAGGAGTAGCACCACTACTTGCAGTTAGAAGGATGTTGATTGGAATCAAAAATTTGTCAGATTCCATTCATTCTCCTTGAAGAGATCCTAGTGTCTTGTGCATCAGATCATGAAAGAAACAAGCAAATGATGACCAGATACCCCTACAGACCAGGATCAATTGTTGCCCTTCATATACAGGAGCTGTTGGGGTTACTTCTGTTAGGGTAATTTCCAAATGTTTTAGTGATATTTAGTTGATGCAGGTGTACCAATAAAATTTTCTGTAGTTTCTGAGTGGAGGCGATTTGATCTCTTATTTGGCCACATTGATAAGAAGAATTGCCTCTGGAAGAACAGCTTCTTGTCTACCAACTTAATTAAACCTTGCTTGTTGATTGATGATGGCAAATGGATTGTGTTGTTGAATTCTTTGAGGAGCTTAACCAAAACCAGCTTGTAAAGATGTGGAGCTCTAGGATTAAAGTCTTTTGTGTTGATCATGATAACAAATTTAATCTGAATGTGCACAATGAAGATTTTGGGGTTGGTAAGTGGTAAGGAGAGAAGCTAACCAACTCAGACCAGAAACAACAGCCTCAACTTGGAATCACCGTGCAACTATTGGAATACTCCCATTCTGCTTATCAGGATCACCTATAATTAAATTGCTTCTCAAGCCATCATCTGGACTGATCTCAACTGGAACTGTTTAATAAAAATGGTGGACAAAACCTGAGCAGGTATATTTTCCTTCCATGTCTGTGAAAAATATATAACCTGAGAATAAGCCCCATGAAAAAATAAAACAATACTGACATATATTTTGTTACG